TTTTTTTTTTAACCAATCTTGTGAAATAAATATAGTATTATTAAACCTATCTTACAAATGAGGAAATCAAAGTTTACAGTGTTTAAGAATTCATGGAAAGTCACTCCATAGCAAAGCCAGCATTCAAACCCAAGTCTGAGTCCCGATCCGGTGTCTTTTTCTACTATACTAAACTGCGCCTCTTTGTCTGTTTGATTCATTTTCTCAGTACCAACAGCATTATAGTCTGAAGAGACAGTCTTTAAAATTACAATGAATATTAATAGCTCCTTTGTTTTTAAAAAAAGTCTTTAGAGAAATTATGTAGAATAATACTCAATTCATTTTATAATGAAGCCTTGAAGTTCATTAAAACCTCCCCTACTCATAATAAATCTACATATACTGACCTAGAAAGATGTCCATATTAAATTAAGTGAAGAAAGCAAATTTCAGAGCTGCCTGTATGGTGGAATCCCATTTAGGTTTTGTTTAACATTACAGATGTACTGCACATGTATGTGCATTTAAATATGTATGCATAGAGAATATTTGGAAAGACACACACCAAACTTTTCTTAAAGGCTCATGCTGAGGAGCAGGATTGGGAGCCAGGTGGTTAAACAAGATTAGGATATTATTTATGTATCATTTTAATTTTTCATAATAAATATACATTATAAAAAGCAAATTTTTTTTAAAAACATGTAAATTAAAACTTTCTTTATAAGCCCTTTACAACAATTTTACTTTTTTTGTAACTAGAAATTATAATTAGAAAGCCATTATTACTACTTTGAACTGTTGAAATGCGATTTTTTTCTGTTGTCATGAAAACATTTGTAAAGTACCAACAGCAAAGCCCAGTAGAGAAATGCTGCTCAGTAATTGGCAATTATCTTTCTCTACTGCAAGACCAAAAGTAGTAAAAACTAATCTCTATCCAAAAAGAAAATAATCTGTAGCTTGCAGGATATTATAAAATCATCAGGTTGAACTTTTTACCTTGAACCGCAAATTCATTCCTCCTTCTTCACCACTTTCCATCTTATATTCGTTCTCAGGATTTTTGTCTTTTTAGGAGCCCTTTTCTAGCCAGTTACAGATCACCTTGCATTCTTAGCACCCTTTTTATAATAGCCTGCTGTTTTTAAGGCATCTAATAGATTTTACCTTTAGGAATTAATTC